GAAGCCAGTTCATGCCTTAGACCGCTCGGCTACCGTGACCGGCAGTGTATAAGAATAATATATAAGAATTCAGTCCGTACCTCACAGGAAACAGATCCGAACCCACGATCCCGACTTCCGAGCGACCGAAGACAGTGCATGCCTTAGACCGCTCGGCTATCGTGACCATATATTGGCAGTACTCATGTGATATAACAACTTAAATAGAACTACATTAATAATTGCGACACCAATGACAACATCAGTGTTAACAAATTTCATATTATTAACTGCGACAGAGTTTTAAGAAAATTGATGTTTTGACTATGGTTGGGGGGAAATTTCTCGTTCTCCGGGGCCGCATTTGGGCTTGCACTACTCCGAGTATAGCATTAAATAATTACTTTTAACTGGTTAACTGCACGGAACGTGCTTTTTGAGAAACTTGTCAGGGAATTCCTGGCTTGTACAAGATCCTTAGGTTTAGTCCTGTGTTCACAGGATTCCACCACTGCTCTCTACCTGAGCCAGATAAATCAAGTCCACACCTTCACATCCTGTTCTTCAGGGACCCGTTTTGATATCCTCCCATCTTTGTCTTGGTCTTCCAAGGGCATATATTTGCTGTGTTCATACCAAAACTCTATATACTTTTCTCTTCTCTTTCATAATTCTTACGTGACCCTCCCAGCTCATCCTACTTAATTTGAACCTACCAGTAATATTTGGCAGGGGTAAAAATTATGAAGATCGTCATTATGCAGTTTTCTCCAGCCTCCTATGAATTTATTTGTCTTTCGTCCAAAAATTGTCCTCCGCATCCTGGTCTCATAATTTTCAGCCTTTTTTCCCTTTTTCCCTTGGCACTACAGCCCCAGTGGGCCTAGGCCTACCTCCATGAACTTCTCCGTTCACTTCGGTTTTTCTAGATCTTACACATTCGATAGGACTCCTTGGGCGGGTGATCAGCTCGTCGCAAGGTCACTACCTGTACACAAACACAGAAAAACGCACACGAACATCCATGCCCTGAGTGGGATTCGAACCCACGATCCCGGCTTCCGAGCCAGCGAAGACAGTGCATGCCTTAGACCGCTCGGCTACCGTGACCGGCAATTTTCAGCTTACGTCCTTGTTATATATAATGTGAGGTATAAAGTTTCTAGTTCTCTGAAGGATTTCACACAGAGCGGATTTGTGTGGCGGTAAATTTGAATCTTCAGATTTTGAAATAGGACTTTTTGAACTGAATTGCAGCGTTCCCCGAATTTAATCTGCTATCAGTGTTAATTTGGTAGTAACTCTGCTCTGGGGAAACCAGAAAGAAAGATACAACTAGGTAGGAGGATAATATTAAAATGAAGTTCTCGGAAATGGGATTAGATGGTTTGGACTGGATTGATCTGGGTCAGGATAGTGACAAGTGGAAGGCTCTTGTGAAAACGTTAATGGACATTAGGGTTTCATAAAATGTTGGGAAATTCTTCAGTAACTAAGCGACTGGCGGCCTAGCTCAAAGTAGTTCGTTAATTAGTTATTCTGTTCTTGTCCTTTTTGCAGGTTTTATTTGATAGTGAACATTGCCACATTCATTCACTGAAGGACTCTGATCCATAGATGGATGGTTGCTTAGCTGGTAATTAGCCTGCTTTCCTTATTCTGAAGAAATAAATATAGGCTTACTTGATCTCCATTCTGTAATCCTATGTGTCCGTTATCACCCCTATCAACTTCTGTGAGCCTAAACCAAACTCTGTGAAACTTGGTATATACATCAAGGCACCTGAGTCCATCTGAACGGCGTACTTCGTGAATCCCTCCCATCAGTCTTTATGTCTGTAAGTTCATTCTCCTTTCGTTNACAGCGTGAGCAGGTGGCTGCAGCATTCTTCATAGTCACCGCCTTGAAAATCTGAATTCTTAAAAAGAATTGTTGAACGCTTCGTTTTGTATGAGGTCTTTGTCTATCAAAGGAAAGACGGTTAGTTCTTCCCAGAACTTCTTGTTTTATGACGCTGTCATTATCGAGGATAGCCTTGGATGATGAAATGATAGATGAATTTAAAGGATTTGGAAGAAACGGCCGTGTCATAGTTCTTTTTTCCTTGGCACTACAGCCCCAGTGGGCCTAGGCCTACCTCCATGAACTTCTCCGTTCACTTCGGTTTTTCTTGATCTTACACATTCGGTAGGACTCCTTGCCTAATTTATTTACGATTATCCAGGATAATATTATCCTGGAATTTCCCTTGACAAACTGATGGAAACACCCGAAACTTCAGTGAGGGCAGCCTGTGTTCCGGCTGATATTCGAAGCCAGGGCCTCCCGAATAGAAGTGTAGAGAGCTCTCACTAGACCAGCCTATTCGATTACTCCGTGGGGTTAGTTCATTTGTTAGCCAATCGAATCTGTTGATCTGTGTTATCACAGTTGAAACTGATAGTGGGCCGACACTCATTTCAGGTACTGCAAAAGATAAGTTTGTTATCAGATGCTGGGACCGTCGACACAACAGCGAAGTAAACTAGATTTTAATAAGTCTATTAAAATGATACAAATGTTAATGTTCTATATGTTTCATATTAATTATTTTATTGAAATTTAATTTACTTTCTTGTGTCGACGGTCCCAGTACCTCGATGTTATAACACAACAAAATTTATTTATTTTATTTATGTATATGTGGTTTAATTAGCCACTCTGTCAGTAATCCTAGATTATATGGCGTTGAAGGACGCGGTGATTAGAGTATAATGAATTACAAATGACGCGGAAGGACGTTTTCATGGCCGAGTTTAAGGCACCTTCGTGTTACTTGCCCAAAAGCACTGAGAAACACTTCGAAAAACTTCTGTATATTCTGCGTACCGGTCTGCATCTGTAGCTGTTTTGTGCGTGTGTGTAGATAGATAGATAATAGATAAATAGATAGGCATACGGACAGAGATAGATAATAGATAGATAGGTAGATAGATAATAGATAGATAGGTAGATAGATAGATAGATAGATAGATAGATAGATAGATAGATAGATAAATAGATAGATAGTTAGATGAGAATTCATCTACTTCCTATCCAGCTCTGGATCAGAGTTAGATCCATCCATCCCATGTATCCATGCAGTTGTTGTTTTTGTTGTTATTGGAGAGGGTGGGTTTCCCCATGCACTTAGACCAAATATTGGTCCATTGTGCGTCCCCCTGTGATATTCTACAAGTCTCTATACCCTACCGGTATTGGTGCGTGCCATCAGTCCTGACTCAGCCAGCGAATTCGGTCTCTACTGACTCAGCGGTATCTCGATGCTTCCCCCCTCTACCAGAGGCGTTAGAGACTACTGTTGGGCGGGAAATGTCCTGAATTTGTCCCCTTGGGACATGAGGTTCTTTTACGTGCCGTAAAGCTAGGACACGGGACCCACGGCTTAAAGTCCCTCCCGGAGGACTTGTTCCCTGAATTTTTCCGCCCTTAAAAATTCCACGACCTCCGCCGGGTATGAACCGGCGTACCTTGAGTCACGAGGTGGGAACGTTACCCCTAGACTACGGAGGCCGCTTATCCATGCATCTACGTATACATCATCCACCCGTGCCGAAAATGTTACACTGTTCCGCGCCCCAAAGTAGGATTACCCATCCACCCACCGGGCTCCATTTGCCGTCTCCCTCTGTGGCTGGTTAGATACCTTTATCTCTCTCCCTTCTTTCTCTTTAATATATATAGTTCTTTACGTTTCGCGCAGAATCCAGTTGTTGAAAGGTTGTCCTCCTCCTCCTCGGTCACCCTTAGTAACATATGATTCTGCAACGTAATATACCTTGTACTGCGCGTGGCGCGTAAAGATCGATTTTGCTTGCCAGTCTTTCTCCCGGCTTCAAGGAGCATGCTGTGGGATCATTATACAGTACACGAGAAGGTCCTTCGCAGTCACAAGGTGGACTTGAGTGTGGTCGTGAGGACAGCGGAGACGTCTACGCTTCGGCAGCTCAGCACGTCCGACTGCTCTGGGCCGACCGTAAACAGTCCACTAATCCTTTCGAACAAGTCGACCGCATTTTAATTGTCGATTTTCAGAGAGTTATATTAAAATTATCTGCCGTATTTACTGACGATAATTCCCAGTGGAATAATCCATATTCTTGCTCGTTTTATATTTATCAGCAGTAAACGGAATTTGTTGACAACTGACATCAATTTGTCTGGTAAGTTTACATTTTATCTTACTATAACTCTTACCGAGCCCATTTGTCGAATATTGTGGATGAGTTTTTAGTGGTTTTTATTAAATACTGAACACATATTTCTTAAAATTCAACTATTTAACAAAGTTTTCAGTATCAAGCATGTAGAGCATCGATGTTAGCGTAATAAATGAATGTGGAGCAATTTTTGGCATAGAATTGGCAGAGGAAACGGAAATATTCTGAAAAGTAATCGTCCCAGTGCCAATATATCCATAAATTGCACTTGCCGTGGCATGAGATCGAACAGGGGTCGTCGAGGTAGAAAACTAAAACCTATTTCTGCACATATTCTGCGTTGTAATTTTGAATTACGTTCTGAAGTTCTGTCTTGAATAAACGGCGATAACATTAATATTATTTGCTAACGTCTGGACCTTAACTCAGACCACATATGAAAATACTAGCTTTATTATCGCTGTATTTTCAAGGACGTAATCCTCAAATAATCCTTATAAGCCAGTTGAAATCATAGCATATCATGATATAAAAATATTTGTTCGAGAAGGCATAACGATACGCCCCAGTTTAGCATTTGTAGCAGTTATTGGAAGCCAGAAGTTCATATAATTAAAATACAAAGCAACTTTCCTTCTCTGTAACTAACCAAGTGCCTGGGCAGGTATGAAGCCCCCAACTTAAATATATGATAATATGCTGCCTGATCAGGGTTATCATACACGTCAGGGAGCGGTGATAGGTGCGCATGGAGCAATGGCAGAATAGTTATTAACAAGGGAAAACATGGAATTCTTAGAGTCCGCGATTTGCACATGGCATTCAAAATCCCGTACGTATATGATTACATAACAAAATTATGCAGGCAACAAGCAGAAGTCATACAAAATCATGATAATGAGAATGTTCGCAACATCGGACAAGGCGAAGCCCGACACAGAAAGTATAAGAGGCTTAAACTTGGCGGCGGTCAGGCATACGACCGTTCAAGTGACTAGACTGCCGTGGTAGCAAATACTACTAGGATATATATGTATATATATGAAAGGGCATAATCCGCTGTACCTAGCCTGGACTGACAGAGGCTGTGTATATATTGTACATAGAAGTAAGGATTAAGTGTGTATTTGTAAATGGATGTAAATACAGACAATAGACTTAATACAGACTGACTGACAGATGACAGACCCGACCTCTCGTCAGAGAGGGCGCTACACATAGACAGGACAGTAACTTTCATTGAAAAGAAATATCTGGTCATGAGCCCCAGCTGGGGCTCGACACCAAGACCGACAGACTGACTGACCGTCAGTTGTAACATGACCTGACCTGACCTGACCTGAATTCTTAGAAATACTTGCTCCAGTATCACGTCGTCTACATGAAGTCACCTGGGAGTGAATCCAGGACCCCTCAGTGACAGTAATGTTTAAAAATTTAGTTCCTACCTCACAGAAAACAATCTCCGTTATGAAGACCAAACGGTTAATATTGTTCGGGGAAATAATCTGTGTTTATTCTGAGAATCATAGACTGTACACAAGTACGCTATGACAAAATGCAGAGTTTTCGTATGTTAAATTAGGTGGTGCATATAGTTACCACAGTGCTTTAAGGGGGCCAAGTAACGAGCCAATATACATGCATCATTGCGACTCTAACCACTATCAGTTAAAATTTCTGACAACTTCACTCTAAATTGTTTTTTGTCGCTTTAATGAAAATGTTTGTTGGACAAAATTTGCGGTACTAGAATATCGAGCTTTGACAGTGTGGAACCTGTGTTGTTTGTTATGTAGCTCCGTTGTATCTGTGTAGGATTTCGAATTTTCGCCTGTAATATTATATTTGAACTAACAAAGCCTCATAACTAGCTGACATTTCCCATCAAATTTCTCCCAAATTGAAATTTTAGATAAGGAACAGTAAATCATGAAATTACAAGTATGTTCGAAGATACATCACCGTTAAATTCATTTATTCACAGAACAGTTCAATCTTCTGTGGATATAAAGACGTGTAGTTCGTTGAAATGAACTCACGTTTCTGAAGAAAATGTCTCCATTTTCAGGGTCGAAGAATAAACCAAGTAAGAAATCAGAACGAGGCATGTAGCAAACAGAGTTCCCTACACGTTATATATAGCTCATTTACTAATATTGTGTTATACATATGCAATTCAGATTAACCCATTAATAGCCGAATGTCCGTCTGTCTGTCTGTCTGTCTGTCTATCTGTCCGTACGACCTTATTTCTCCCAAAGAACGTGTCATAGAAAAAATATCAAGAATGAACCAGAAGTTCTTGGAAGAACTTATCTCTTTTCTCGGTATTAAACGGGTCGCATAGAAAACGACGTCTCCAAGAATTCCTCCTTGCAGCGGGAACGTGTTTACCTAGCCGTTGCCTAGCTGAAATAAAGGGACACACAGACAGACGCACAGACTCTCCTTTGATACGAATGGGTCGCATAGAAAATGACGCGTACAACAGTTCTTCTGTTGTTGCTTCTGTAATCTTTACCGCCGTAACGATTTTTACCGCGCCGTTGCCTAGCAACGATAGGAAGGCTACAGTTTCAGACACACACTGTTGGGAAGGATTTATGAAGTACGCCACTGAGATGGGCCTAAATATATATGCACCAAGTTTCATAAAAATTTATCCAGGCGTTCGAAAGACACACACAGTCAGCATGGTGATCACAAAAGCCTACTTTTATTTTTTCGAAATAAAGAAAATAGGCAGAACTATAGTTTGAAATGACAGATCAAAGAAAATTCATAGTTTTTCCTTAGATGTGGATTTGAGTCCAAATCGGTTTCTTTACCGAATCCTTTTTCCGTAAGATACCTAGCAAACCCTGATGACATTGAACACATACGTAGTAACCATGTTAACGTGTTTACGCGCTGCATTATGTGCGTGATGTATACTAATTCTTTGTGTTTGTTTTGACATAACGTAGTTCTGTATTCAAGTGGTTATGAGTAATGTAAGCCGATCCCAGTGGCCGCGTGATCTAAGGCATGAACCGTCTTCGCCCTTTCGTACACTGGGATCGAGTGTTCGAATCCCTTTCTAGGCATGGATGTCTGTGTGTGTTTTTATTATGTGTGTGGGTAGCGATCTTGCGACGGGCTGATCCCCCGTTCAAGTTGTCCTACCGACTGTGTATAGGATTAAGAAACAGAAAAAACGGCCAAGGTCAAACAAAAGTTGTGGAGCCATAGATGAATAATATATACAATTTTATTTGCGTGAAATTCCTAAGAATTAGGCTGATTTAGAGAGAGAATATCAATTTATTTATACATCTTGCGTTTGTACGAATTGTGTTATGATGGTCACAAAATGTCGTGTGTGTCTTAAAGTTTAGACTTTTCAGTATAATTACCCGCACGGAACAAAATGGTTTTTGAAACTGCGGTGATGATTTCTTTGCGCAGTCGCGTTAATTTTTATTGATTAGATTCTAACGCTTTCCATTCTGATTCTTATTTAAGTAAAGCTTCTGTCAGCATATCACAGAGGTACCCTACAACTTTTATTGCTGAGGAGTTATGAATATGTTACGAAATTGGCGGGAAACGCTTTCTAAACTGACTTTCTGAAATACAAAATAACTAAAATCAGCCTGACAGAGCCCATGTTTTTGAACGTGATATCTTTTGAGTAAGATAACAAGAATTTACTTTTTTTTCCAGCTGCAGATGTTACGTAGTGTCGAATTTTATTCTAAGTTGGTAACATTGACTGCCGTGGCCTATTTCAGGGTTACAATACTAATATTATGCCGTACATTCTCGCTTGTTTATGGTAGGAGCATGAATAATTATATATGGCACACTTAACGAACAGTGTCCAACATAGTATTATTATAATAAATTTGTAATTGTCGCAAACATTACGTATAAATAGTTTTGAGGTTTTTTACTGACACTCCAAACCGCAGTTCGCCTCTGCAGTTTGTTATTGTATAGCCTAATATAAACAGAGCTACACTACACATATCATACTTTCGTAAATTTGAATTAAATCAAATATAAATAAAACATATCTCTCAAGAATTATATCCTTTAGGATATGACTCCATGTAGCGTTATAGAAGTTTACTTACGTATGAGAGCAACATACTACTGTCATCTTCAGGGTTAAAAACAAAGTCAGGCAATAACCTACCAGAAAGCAGAGTGGCCTTCCTTGACTTATTCTTAGACTCTGAAAATAGAGGCAGTATATTTCTGCGAAACATTAATAAACTTCTACCAGGCTTTACTGCGTCACATCCCAAAATATGATACTCTTCATAGTTACCATCAGGGGGACCTCGAATTCAATACAATATAGAAATCATCACGCAGTGAAGTATTTAACGTACTCCAAAGTGGTTCGGGAACCACAGTTTAAGAACTACTCACATAATACTAGTTGCAGTTGTAAAGGAAATGGACACCGAGGGTTCTTTGCCCCGGGAAAAAGTTGGCTGGGGCGTGAAGCTGATCACATCCATCTAGTGCCGAGGTCAAGCTGTACCTCCAGTTCCCCATATGCTTTCAAGGCAGGATGCTTAATTAATAGCGCACAGGGCCAACTTTTTTTACCTTACAATTCCAAAGAAAATGCACTGCGAAAATTTGCGACAAGGCACAACAGAGTAACGAGAAGCGACGTCCTGCTGTCTGCTTTCATTTGTTTCGAATCTAGGCCAATGAAGTGTTGAAATGCTTATTGTGACATTATTCATGTGTCTCAATGTTGCACACGTGACCAATTGCTTGTCGATCATCGCTCACATCTTCAAGCGACTTGGCAAAACGCTTTGAGCGGCCATTGTGTTCCCGAGGACTGACAGCCTTACAGGGCTTCCAGAATCTGCTACATATATTGATCGATTGATCGATTGGTTGTCTGATTGAGCCCTACCTAGCGTAGTGGGTAACTGTTGAAACTTCTGTTACGACAATTGAGTGACTGATCAAGTGATTGATTGAATTAATCC